TTTTTTTTTAATATTATATGGAACAGTTTGCGCTCCCAGAATTAGGAGCCAGATTTTACTATGTGCAATGGAGATTAAATTAATGAATTTTATAGTCCATAAATTAAATAAAATTGAACAATTAATTATTATTTTTAAATATATTGAATACCTGATAGACTTCATAAATTTAGACCTCATATGAATCTTCAACAGCTATATAATAAAGCAGAATGGTTTTTGAATTTGTCCTGCACACATTTATCCAACTAGGACATTTTGACAGCTTAAATCTATTCAAATTATAAAACAACAGTTGAGATATAAATATATTCAAATTATAAAACAACAGTTGAGATATATTTTTCAAAAAATATCCTACATGTACATTTTTTATTTTCCCGCTTCTCTCTCTTACTTTTTCCTTTTGTCACCCATCCTTCTATGATCTCATGATCCCACCTTCATCTTTTTTTTCTTTTTATTATTTTTATTTTCTCCCAGTTTTATTTTTCTCTCTTTTTGTTTATTTAATTTTTTGTTTTATCATTTTTGTTCACTTATTATTATTCATATTATATGTAAAAATCTGCGATCCCAGAATTATGAGCCTGATTTTATTGTGTGCAGTGGAGATTAAATTAATGAATTTTATAGTCCACAAATTAAATGAATTTGAATAATTAATTATTATTTTTAAATATATTGAATACCTGATAGACTTCATAAATTTAGACCTCATGTGAATCTTCAACATCTATATAATAAAGCATGATTTTTTTTTTTGAATTTGTCCTACACACATTTGTCCTACTAGGACATTTGGATGGTTTAGATCTATTCAAAGTACAAAACAACGGTTGAGATATATTTTTCAAAAAATATTTTACATGTACATTTTTTATTTTCTCGTTTCTCTCTCTTACTTTTTCCTTTTTCCACCCATCCTTCTATGATCCCATGATCCCACCTTTCTCTCTCTTTTATTTTTATTTTTTTTTATTTTCTCCCATTTTTATTTTTCTCTCTATTTGTTTCAGATTACTTGAAAGCTCTCTTCATGCTCTATGTTTTGGTAGGGTGAGATTATGGATGAAAAGAGATGAAATCCAAGCTTAAAAGCTTAGGATTTTCGGACATGGAGGAAAGAGAGAGAGAGAGAGAGAGAGAGAGAGAGAGAGAATGATATAATTTGACCAAAGTGATTTTTTAAAGTACTGATCCCAAATATACCACTCGAGCAATCAATCCATTGCTCGAGCGTAAGACACAAAAACGGGAGACTGCTCGAGCGACAAAGACATAGCTCCAGGGCACATCGACCCACTCCTAGAAGTTTTATAGACCTGCAAAAGTACTTGGAGGATGGAAAGACCGCTCGAGCGACCAAAGCATCGTTCGAGTGAGCAAGAAAAGAGATGGGCAACAACTCTTTTGAAAAACTAACTCCCAACCTGTTTCAAATACAACCAACAACCCCAAACAACCAAACTCAACCCACAATATGATGGAAAGGATATAAATAACAATTAAAGATATGAAATTCCAGATCCAAGAACATGAAAAGGATTGAGTCTAACCCAAAACCGTTATAGCTGAATTGTTTACAGTTTGACTGATTCGTTGGTTTAATCACGATTTTGGTAATTTTATCAAAATATATTAATTAGATTTGTTTGATTCGAAATTAACTTCTCACCTAAATAATTATTAGTTTTTAATTTACATAATCCCACATCGGGAAAAGAATTATTAAGTGAGTTGTTTCACTTCTGTATAATAAAACAGAACGATTTTAAAAATGTGTATATCTCATAATTGGATAGAACAGTTGAGATTGACTCAATAAAAGATTGAACGGCTAAGATTGTGAAATGAAAATTGATTTCTAGCCCAAACAATTGTTAACTTTTATTTTACACAATCCCTCAATCAAAAAGAAAAAAAGAAAAGAAAAGAGTTGTTTCACTTATATAATGTGAACATTTATGCTTCTATTTAATATTATTATAGTGTTGTGCATACTTCAATTTAAGAGAAGATAGCTTAAATTTTGTAATAAAATTTCGAAGTTTTAATTAATTAATTTTTGTATAAATTAGTTGATATTTTGATAGATATCCAAATAAAATTATACTTATTAATAAATATGACATTAGTTTTAATTGTAATCACATATTTAATATATATATATATATATATATTGTGAGGCATTTAATACTTAAAATCCTAATTCATTTTTTAACTTTTTTTTGAGATTTTAAATTACATATTATGGTAATTCTTTCTTACCTATTAAGTTTTTAAAATTTCTTTTTAATTATTTCCCTTTTAAAAACCAATATGATATTTTTTTTTATATTCATATATTTTTATTCTAAAATAGTGAATTATTAGAACTATATCATTTTTTATAACAAAGCATAATTTTAATTATTAATTGTCAAGACAATAATTTTAATAAATGGACATTTCAAACAAAACTCTTAAACTTCTATATAAAATTTTATTTACAAGAGACAAAATACAAAAAAAAATAAATATATATAATTATCGCATTTTTTTAATAAATAATATATTATTTTAACCCCTACATAGCACGGTTAACATGCTAGTTTAAACAAATTTGAATTAATTTTTGTTTAATTTATTTTAAGGAAGCAATGATTTTAAGTAGAGATTTTAGAAGAAGGACAAATAAATTGGAAGGTCAACAAACTGTATTTCTATAATTAATTTTAAGAAATGATCATCTTTTAGGTAATGATCTTAGGGATAAGCTTGAAGTTTTTATTTATTTATTTATGTTTTCAATTTAGAAATTATGTGAGACACATAAATAGTTTATTATTTTTTAAAATTGAAAAAAATAAGAAATTGAGGTTGAATATGTGGAACTCTCCCATCCCTTCTCATTAAAAACCTTATTTTCCTTAATATAAAGTATAGATTAGAGGTGGGCGGGGGTCGATTACGGTCATAGAACCTCCAATCCGCACCACCCGTCTGTCAGATTGGCGGATTGGCAAAAATTAATTCACATCTGTCTGCCAATTCGACGGATATGGATTGAGCGGATTGGCGAATAGATGCGAATCGGTTTGACGATTTAAAATTTTATAAATTTTCAACATAATTCAACTTGCCCACTTCCTCAAAAAATAAAATAAAATAAAGTATTACAGTCAATGACTTAAAAAAGTATTACAATCACTGCATGTCTCATCCAAAGAAAGAAAATTTGAAACTTTAGAATATTACAATCACTGCATGCCTCATCCACATATTACAATCGCAGTATATCTCATCCACATAAAATATTACATAAAGTACTACAATTTATGGTTCTTAAAATATAAAAACAATTCAAACTACCAAAATCATGAATTGAGCAGTAGTAGAGATTGTATGTCTCTATATTGTTATATTTGTATCTGTTTTTGAAAATAAAAACCAACTAGCATATATCATCTTTTTTATTTATTATTTTACGAGTTAGATTTTTAAAAAAATATATAGATAAATAATACATTTATTTTTTTCAATTCAAAAAATATATTCAAGTTGAAAACTCTTTTTCAACAGAATATATTCAACAAAATATTTAAACTCTTGGGTGAATTACACTAACGGTCCCTATAGTTTGGGGCTTGTGTCATTTTGGTCCCTGACTTTTCAATTGTGACACATTTGACCCTGAATTTTGAATCTTGTTCCAAATAAGGACAATTGAAGATACTATTGGATTTTTAAGGACAAAATCGTCAATTTGGTAAAATATAAATTAATTTGACAAAAATAAATGTCAAAAATTTATTTTTAAATTTTTAAAAATTATTTCTACCTACTAAAGATAAAATTATATAAAATTGATAAATCTTTTAGACATTTATTTATTTATTTTAACCAAATTAATTTTTATTATGTATTTGGATGATGATCATGTAAAATTAATTTTTAAAAATTAATCATGTATTTTTTATTAATTTTTTTTTATCAATTTTACATAATTTTATCTTTGGTGGGTAGAAATAATTTTTAAAAATTTTAAAATATTTTTTTGACATTTATTTTTGTCAAATTAGTTTATATTTTATCAAATTGACGATTTTACCCTTGAAATTAAGCAATGATATGTTCAATTGTCCTTATTTGAAATAAGATTCAAAATTCAAAGTCAAATGTGTCACAATTGAAAAGTCAGTGACTAAAGTGACACAAGTTCCAAACTATAGGGACTGTGAGTGTAATTTGCCCTAAACTCTTTTTTAATTGAAAACACAAACATAATATCTAAACAAATTGAAAATACAAAGTCATACAAATTACTAGGGGTGCTCGCGGTTTGACTGTTCGATTGCGGCCAAAAGAACTTCAAATCCGCCATCCATTCAAAACTAGGCGGATTGGAAAAAATCAATCTGCAACCGTTCGCTCGTCATCACGCATTCGTCTAAAATGTGGCGGATAGAATCAGTTCAGTCAATTTGGGCGAATCAGTATATCCGTTGTCACCCCTAATATAGATTTGGATCACATCAACTCTCTACTTTTGTTACACGTTTTTAAAAATATAAAAAATTAAAAATTAACTTTTTTTCTACTTCGCAAAATAGACCTTAATATTGTACTTGTTTTGGGATTATATTAGCAATTCATAGGTGCCACTTAAATTTTATGGAACTAAATTTTGGGATTCCCTACCATGCAATGCTTTCCCTCTTAGGCCCCGATTGGGGACTTACTTTTTTAGCCAAAAAGTAAAAAAGTTACATTTTTAGCCAAAAAACCAACAATTCATACCAAAAAGTCAAAGATACTCTTTTCTCTCTACTTTTTGCACATCTTTTCATAATTAGCCAAAAAGTCATCCCAAACATATAAGTTTTTTTTACCTACTTTTTTAACCAAATAGTCAAAAAATTACTAAATTAGCCCGTTCCAAAACAAGGCCTAAGAGTATCAAGAATATGGCATCAATTTTTTAAAATTTTAGGATGCTAAAAAGAGCTTTACAGCAGTTAAACCAATTGTAAACCGATCGATATGAATGTGATATAATGGAATGTATCAATAGGATCAGAGGGCAAAATATCATATCGGCCGATATTTAAAACCATGTTTATACCTGATGTCCATGTCTCATGAACTTCCAAACCCTAACCGAAGCTCAAGGTCCAATTCTATGTTAGATGAACCATGACTCAATTTCTCTCTTCTCTCCACATCCTCACTCACGTCACTGCTTGCCTCTGCATCATCTCTCACCAATGGTGTCTCAACAAACAAGTCCAGCTTCCGTGGTTCTCCGACGCCATCTCCGCTTCTAGAACCATCCTCATCTTCTCCAGAGAAAATCCAAGGCCTTTTAGGGCTGTTGCAACTTTTCTCTTCACTACCATCTAGTTTCGAGTCGTCTTCATCGACAATCAGATGATCAGAGGGAGTAGCCTTCTTGTCAGTCATGTCGCCGGAATATTCTTTAAGTTTAGCCCTATCTTTTCTATGGATGTTCATGTGACCTCCAAGTGCTTGTGCATTTGAGAAGCCCCTTTTGCAAAAGGTGCATGTATATGACCTAACTTGGTGATCATCTGAGGTATATACTATTTGGTCAGGGCTTTCTTTAGTTGGCTGATTAAACTCCATTTTCAAGCTGAGAGAGAGAGGAATCAAATGGTCGGCCGAGAGAGGGATGTTTTTATTGAGAGGAAACCATGGCATCAGGCCTGCTTATATTGTTATAGATAACTTGCAAGGGTGGACAACAAATATAATATAGAAAACAATAATGGTAGGGATTATGGAAAATGATTCACTTTGATTGGGGCAAACATGTTAGAGATAGGATTGTTTGGAATTATTTAAATAAATAAATTTTTTAACACTTTATAAAAAGATGTGAAGAAAATAAAGATATGATATGATCAAAAAAATAATAATAAAAGGATAAATAAATATACTTTTATAGTTCTAGCCAAACAACCCTTAGTCTGGGCGTTCAATTTTGGAATAAGAAAGAAGGGATAGGGGGTGAGAAACATTATGTATTCAACTGAATGGTAACTTTGGTTTTGTTTGGCATGATAGTTGGGTTAATTTAAGGGAATGGCTTCTCTCTAATCTTTAAGGATTAGAGGGTGTTGTTGGACCCTTGCAAGCTCACAAAGGGTTTTTTTTTGATAATCTCAACTGTTCAATATGTAGAACTTGTCGAGTACTAAATATTTGTAAAAAAATCACATTGATTGGATATTTATAAATATGTGATCAAATCATTTTTGTATATGAAAAAATGGACGATGAAAGAATAAACAGTTGACAAAAATTTGATATGATGAAATAGTTATCAATATCCGCTCAACTACTTGTTCTTTTGGTATTATAATATATTTTCTACCAAAATGTATAAACACTGTAAACGGATTGCTTGAACAAAAACGTATTGAGTTCGGGATGGATTTTGGCCCGATCCATTGACAGGCCACGTAATCGTCTGCGTGTGTAAAGCGAAATAACTTGGGAAAATCGAACAAAAAACCCAAACTATTATCTGATCTGGATCTAGGGTTTTCGCAACTATCTCTTTCTGACCAATTTTCTCAGGTATTTTCTCTGGATTCCTAACCAATATGTGCACACAGAAATACAATCATTCATCTATATGCATGCACACACATCTATATAAATGTATATGTTTTTTTCCATGTGTAGTCGGTAATGATATTGGGATGATTTTCTTTGATCACTTAACTGGATTGAGTAATCAAATGGTGGATAAATTCAACTCTAATCAAATGCTTTTCATGTTCATGGTTTTTGTAAGATTAGTTTGAGAGAGTGAGAGAAGCTATAGAGTGAGAGAGAGACTCTGAAATGTGTTTTTATTATATTGTGTGATTTACAAAGAGATGAAGGCTCTCTTTATAGAGAGAGAAAGGGGCATTGGATACCACCATTATCACCGAAAGCAAACACTACTCAATTAACAATATAATGAAGACAATATAATGAAGTCTGCTAAAGCTATGCTAAAGCTATTCTAACACCGAAAGTAAACACTATACAATATTCTAACAACCGAAAGTAAACACTATACAATATTCTAACAGTTTTCTTGATGGAATTTGTAACTTTTATCAGCTTCATGAAAAGTGATTTGGGAAGAAATATAATATATATATATTTTTACAAATGTTCAGCAATGTTTAGGCGTGGAAACAAATTATCAAGGTCAATGAACGGTACTGGGGGTTTTCGAGTGCCTGTATTGTTTACAGTTTTGATTCTGTTTCTCGTGGCTTTGATACTTTCGTTTCGAAATGATGGGGAGAAACCCAATACTTCAGTTGGGCTAGTAAAGCAAAAGTGGAATAGTTTTGAATCATTGGTTCAATTTAACCCGAATGTGGAGTTCAGGAATGGAACAGATGTTATATGGCAAATACCCGATTCACCGAAGGCAGTTCTGTTTTTAGCTCATGGATGTAGTGCGAGCTATTAATTTTTGGGACAAATCTTCTAAATGCCCAAACTGTATTGGTTTGCCTGAAGAAAGGCTAATTGTCCTTCACACTCTTGCTCACAAGTTTGCAGTCCTTACCATTTCGAGTGCGGGAACACGCTGGTCAGTTGAGGAGGAAAGAATGATTGTAAAAGGAATTATCGAGTGGTGGGTTGAGAAATACAAGCTTGAAAAACTTCCACTTGTGGCTTTGGCGGCCTCCTCTGGTGGGTACTTCGTTTCAATGCTTGCCACTGATATGAGATTTAGTAGCATTACAGTAATGATCTCAGCAGGCTTATTTCATCAAATGGATATCACAAAGGACTACCCACCTACACTATTTGTGCACATGCCCAAAGATGAAGCTAGGAAGCAGAAGATAGATGCAAATCTTAGGTTTTTGAAGGAGAAGGCATTGATGTTGCAGAGGTTAAATGCATGGAGTTCCCGTTGTCACCAAATTTCTTAGCTGACAGGATCCCAGGTCTTGATAAGACTATTTCAATGAAATTATTTGATCTATTCCGGGACAAGGGCTTTATTGACAAGAATGGTTATATGAGAGCTGATGGGCAAGCAATATGTTTGAAAGCTGCTCTCAGGGAGAGTAAAATTATTCCGCCAGATGTGCACTTTGTTGGAAAAATGGTTTAATATAGACATATTTTTGAGCCCAAATTAGAGTGGATCCGAAGAGGTAAAGACAGAACGTCAAAACCATTTATGAGTGAATGGGAAGTTGACGTCGTTTTTTCGAGTCTAACAGTAATTTTTTAGATAAAATTCATTTGAATTTTTTCAATAAAAATTATTGTGGGAATTTAATTTAATTATAAATTCAAATTTTGAATTCCTAAGTGGTTTCCTAAAGTTTGTAATTATGGTAATTTAATTTAATTCTAAATTCAAATTTTAATTATCTAAAATTTGTACCTTCTCCTTTATTAATTAAACTATTCAAATAGTTTAAAACAGTTAGTAAACACTGTTCTCTAATTGGGTTGGTTAATAAAACTATTTAAATAGTTTTATAATTATATATTTCCAATTGTTTGAAATCTGTTCCATCCAACGGAACTTTGTTCAAAATTTTTTGAAATAAAGCAACGGACAGGATTGTTTGAATATTTGGTCTTGCAACGGTCAAACAGTGCTTTTTCAGATTGTAACTGTTCGGGGCTAATGTCTTTGCCTATATATATTGCCTGATTCCAGCAGTCTTGAATCTGTAATTTTGGAGTCTGAAATTTCTCTCTTTGCTGTCCAGATTTCTTTAGTGCATTAATCTTCATTTATAATTTAGGAACAAATTTTAGAGAGTTAGAACATAGGTTTGGTTCACCGAACAAATTGTTTGGAGTACTATTACAATTTGTGAAGATCATTGTATCCTGGGAGATAGACGCCACTCAACCGTAAGTACCGTAGCGGGGGGAATCTGTCTTAAGGACAGAATGTCAGACACTTGACTTGGTCTTGTAATTTTTATTTGGTTCGACGAAATAAATTCGGTATGTTATTTAATTATTTTGTTTGAATTATTTCAATTCATTTTATTTACACAAAAGATTACTCCAACAATCTTAAGACAGATTCGAATTATTCTGTTTACAGAATTTTTCGTTTGTTTCCCTTTTTCATTCTTCGTAAATAATTTCGGAAGAAAATTATTACACAAAAAAGGGTATCATCGAGTATTCAAACTATGACGATCCAAAGTCTTAAGGACGGTTCAAAAATGGGTGGGTGTCTTACAGTTGCCCCCTCTTTGACAGAACTCGAAAAGTCATATTAAAAATGCGGGAGTGAGTGTCAAAAGCCCAGAGACGACCCATTTTTGACAAGGCCAAAAACTTTAACAAAAGCATTACAAGCTACAAATAAAGGTTATGCGCCCGAGGGCAGGGGCAAAATGCAAGACAATGCAACCAAGCTGAGCATACTTATGATCTGTAAGAAACATAGGACGTATCTCGGTGTTCGGAAAGTATAAGCATTGGAACGTATCCAAATGCTCTTAACCAAAGAGGAAACATAGGACATATCCCGGTGTTCAATACATTGAAGAAATTAGGGACGCTATCCCGATGTTTTCGAAAAAAAAGAAGAACATAGGGACGTATTCAGTGTTTCGGAATAAGGAGAAACATTAGGGACGTATTCCCGAGTTTTGAATGAAGGGAGAAAACACAGCGGACGTTCCCGGTGTTTCAGAATGGAGGAGAAACATAGGGCGTATCCACGGGTGCTTCGGAAAGATAGGAGAAACAAAGGGCGTATTCCCGGTTGTTTCGAAATGGTGGAGCATGGAACGTTATTCCGAACGCTTTTACCGAAGAGGGAGAAACATTATGAGTATCCAAGGGTTAGGGGACGTATCCCAAGGATTAGGGACGTATTCCCAAAGGATTAGAGACGTATCCCAAAGGTAGGGCGTATTCCCCAGTGATTAGAGACGTATCCCGGATTAGAGACGTATCCCAGTGGTACGAACAAGGAGGAGAAACATAGGACGATGCCCGGCGTTTCGGAGAGGAGGAGAACATAGGGACATATCCCGTTGTTTCAGAATGGAAAGAGAAACATTAAGGACGTATCCCGTTGTTCTGAATGGAAAGAGAAATATAGTGAGTCTATCCATGGTTTTCTATATAATTATGAAAACTTATACGTTTTATCCCGTTTTCATAATTGAAAAAAACATAGTATGCATCCGTCTCATAATTATATTAAACATAACTTCTATCCCTTTTCTTAAAAATTATATAAAAGAAACGTATTTTACTTTATCCGTTTTTTTCTAAATAATTATAAACATATTACTTATCCCTTTTTTTCTTAAATAGATATAAACAA